ATTCTCCTCTCTCTTCCACTCCCTGCCTTAGTTGTCAATTCCCATGGATAACCCTGTTTTGGGAAAGTGGAAGAGTAGACTCTGGCCCTGATCCTAGAATGAGAACTGCTCTAAGTTCCCTGTCTAAGGCTCAGAAACTCAGGAGAAGGTTCAGCTAAACACAAAGAGCTGCACATCCACAAAGAATATTCTAAAATACTAATTTTGATCCTAAGGAGAGAAACCTCACAGTGGACTCAAAACTGCCGCAGGTTTTTACCTCAATCACACCCCTCCTGGCCTTCAACATAGCTATGAATTTCACCAAGAGAGGGATGAGTCCAAGAACTCAAAATCTGAACCTGGGAAGACCAGAAAGCTGCCAGCTGCAGAATCAAAGGTTACACCATTCCTCCCACAAGACACATAAATGCTACTGCCCTGGCTATAGCACACTGCAGATATTTAGCCTGCAAAGAGACATCTAACACATCCACCATATTAATTGGAATTACCTTGCTGGAGAAGGGGTTATTGGACAAAAACGCAGCCAGGAGCTGGACTGCATTCTTAACCACTAAGACAGATTTGTCTTTGAGCCGCCCAACAGCCAGCGACACCACAGCCTGAAACTGAGTCAAAGGCAGGGCCTAGAACACAACAAGAGCACAGATAAAGTTATCAAGAAGGCTCAGAGACTTGGGAAAAGTTTACTGCAGACATCTTCATGTACTAAAAAGCACAGATTATAGATTTACAGAAGACTCTAGGGCTCAAAAGACCTCTGGATATATTCTAGTCCAGCATCCACTGAAAGCAAGGATTTAGGTTGAGTTGAGGATACTGCTGCTGAGTTGAGTATTAGTATATCTGGTAATTGTGATGTTCTCCCATACCAGTGTGTGAAAAGAGGCTGTATGCTATGCTTTTTCTTCTAGTTTGTCCTGGTAAGAATGAGCAGCATCTAATTTCCACCCCCCAGTTCCCCCACCCCTGGAATCTTTGGTCTCTTGGAAGAAACTGCAGCCACCACAGTACACAGGGACAGCACCTTTCTCTGTTAAAACTTCAGTCTCTGCAAACAAAAAGCAGGGTGGTAGAAATTCCCACAGAGCACACAAGATGGAAGAGATGACTGAGGAGCACCCTTTGCCCAGCACAGACTTGCCTTGCACTGCACGATGCGGGTGAAGAGCTGCAGCACGCGGCTGCGGACGAAGCTATGGACGTCACACACGTGGGTCTGCAGCATGCTCAGGAACTTGTCCCGAGTACCACGGGCTGCTTCCTCCAGCTGGTCACCATTCAGCACCTGCACCAGCACTTCTGCCATGGCTGCCAGAATGGCGTTTCGCATCGTGTAACTCTGCCAAGACAGGAGTTGGTGAACTAGGAACAGACCATGCCCAGAGTTTAGGCCTTCCACATCCCAGGCTCCAGCCCTAAGTGAATTTTTTCAGTATGGATATTGTATTAAGTTTAGGTGAACGTAGCTGTGCGTGCAAGACAGAGTAATCTTTGCTATGAAGACAGGCTGAGAGTTGGTCTTGTTCAGCCTGCAGAAGAGAGGGCTCTGGGAAGGCACCTAAAGGGGGCTGTGAGAGAGCTGGAGAGGGACTTTTTACCAGGGCATTCAGTCATAGGGCAAGAGGGAATGGCCTCAAAGTGAAGGTAGGTTTAGATTACATACGAGGAAGAAATTCTTTACTGAGAGTGTGGTGAGACACTTGAACAGGTTGCCCAGAGAGGCTGTGGATGCCCCATCCCTAGAACTGTTCAAGGCCAGGTTGGATGGGGCTTTGAGCAACCTGGTCTAGTGGAGGGTGTCCCTAAGGGCCCTTCCAAACCAAATCCTGCTATCCAGGTAGGTACACAGAAGCCAAGAACTGACATGAGAAACACTTACAGCAGATAAAGAAAAGGTAACACAATGACAAGCTCATCAAGTGCTGAAGAACAAGGGACAACAGTAGGGACCTCAGACAAGTAGGCAGTCTCCTGTTCTCTGATATCTGATAGTGACAACTAGACAGGAGATTGCCATGGTTTCTATTCCCTTTGCATCTTTTAGGTAAGGGCAGAATCTATTCCAATAGAGCAGGTTTTGGATACTTGAGCTCTGTGAAAAAGGTTCTGTTTCAGAGAGAAAAACTGGATAGCAGCATCTCTACCGTTTGACTTTTCTGGACAGGTGACTTTGCAGAGACATACCTCCCCATCCAAGTGAGGCAGGAGAACACTCATGTTGGAGAGCACCAGAGCTGGAATCTGTTCAGCCAGTTCACTTATAAAAGTAGCATAACCCTTGACTCCAGAAGCCTCACGAGCCAAATCCTGGGGACATTTCTGTCCAATTTCCCTGTAGAGAAAGATGAAACAAGGAATGGGGAAACAAGGAATAGCCTCAAATTGCTAGAGATAAAAGGACAAGCCTCCAAGTATTTCTCTCACCTTAGCAGTTCACCCACCAGGCTTTTTAGACCATACTCTTTAGCCCAGAGGCTCACAGCCTGTGCAAACACTGGGGCTACATGTTCGAAGTGCTGCAGCATCTGTGTGATCTTCAGAGTGGCACCTTTAACACATGAGAAAGAAGAAAGAGGTCAGGGAAAGTAACTGGGAATGGCTTCAAGAAGAAGGCAGAAGAGCAGGAACTCACTGAACATGCGGTCACAGTGAACCAGAGCTGCAGCAAGCAGATGTGTCACAGCCTCCCGTGTGACCCGGTACTTCTGAAGGCCGATACTTGGATTCTCCAGGATACGGTAGCAGCTCCCCATCATCAAGCTACACCCACAGAAGACAGATAGCAAACCTCACTATCACAACTTGCACAAACATCATTCTAGCACACCACACATTTCCGTCTGAGAGATTCTCTAGTGTCCTCTAAAAATTAGCAAGCATCTGAATTTTTTGTGGCCTATGTGAGGAGAGGAGTGGTTCGTATGCACATTGCTTTTGCCTCGAGCTGTTTCCTCAGTTTCCCAATGATCTGCACCCCACATTTTTATTCCTCAGAACCAGTCACTCGTTCCATGGATATCTCCTCTCCAACTCATACCTGACAAACTCTTCTTCCACCACTAGACCACCCCAAAGCTGACGGAGATCCAGCTGCAGCAGCTGTGTAAGCAGCCGTAAAAGTGGCTCCCTCTCCTCTTCCCACAAGGATCCAGAAGTCTTGGCATGGTTCTTCCTGTTCTAGAAAGGAGGTTACACAGTAAGATACATCAGCAGCTTCACAACAGACAAAACCCCATCACTACTCTGCTTCCTTCAAAATATAAGAAGTCTGTTAAATTCTACAGCATTAAGAGACACACAGTGAAATGTGTGAGATCACAGGGGCTTTTTTCCCCCCAGCTCTTGTCTCTCAGCTCAGGCCAGCACCAGTGCCTTGTGTGGTTTAAGGATTATACCTGCATCCACTGCCATCACAGAAAGGAAATCTTGAGAAAACACTGGCACACTAAGTTCCAGCCAGAAACTCAAGAATGAAATAGAAAGGGCTGGGCATCCAAGTCCCTTCTGAAATTTAGACACACGATTGTCCCTTTACTGTTTTCCATGCACAGTTTCACAGAAGCACCAGTGCTTCACATTATGCACTTCTCTTGCAGGCATCATGTTTATATAAACCCAGCTATAAAATCTGATAGATACTACAGAGTTCAGCAAGCTTAAAATTTTATTCTGACTTTTATAATCGTTCCCCCAGTCCCTTCACCTACCTTCCTACCAGGATCTGCCTCTGAGCAAATGTTCTTGCAGGTTTCCATTTCAAAGGCATCCATCAGGCCAGTCAGCAAATAGCAGTTCATCTTAAGAGCATTGAGGTGAGCAGCCCGCTCTGCATGGCTCAGCCCAGAGTCACTCAGGATAGTGGGAAGTTCATTGGAATGATGGGACACCACTGAGGAGAAGCAGAAAGTCATGAGCACTCCTTGCCAGGTGCCTCAGCCATCCTCTCTTTGGGAGGCTTAGAGCAGCCATCAGATTACCAAAGATGTGTGCTCACATCTCACCAGCTGTAACACGGGCTGTCCCCTGCAACCCAGACCTTGGGCACACTGTCTTGTCCTATCCCCACAGCCCTCCGTCAGCTCAGATAAACACTCGCTCTGAGCTGACACATCCTACAGATGTATTTTCCAGGGACAGGGGCAAGAGGATTTTCTGTCGGTCTGCCCTTACAGCGAACATGCACAACTCAGCATCGTCCACCAAGATTACAGACCCGTATGACAGGAGTGGGCTGAGGGTGCAGCCCAGCTGTCCGAGTCACATTAGCCTTTATATCATCATTGAGCTGCCAAGGGAAAACAAGCTCTCTATTAGTCCGGAAACAGCGGCTACCCACCGTGCATCATCAGCTCCAGGGCGTCCTCCTTGACAGCCGTGCCCACGGTTTGGAAGTGGCTGCGGGACAAACACAGGGCGTAAGGGTGGCGAGCGAAGAGCGCCTGGCAGAGGGGCGAGTGCCCGCCCTGCCGCCCATCCCTGCCCCGTACTCACTGCAGCACGCTGTACACGCAGTCGAAGTGCTCCAGCACGGCCAGCGCGCCCCGCGCACGGGAGGCGGCCCGGAAAGCTGCGGCAAAACACGGAGAGAGGCGGGGGGCATGCCCGTGAGCCGGCGGCAGGACCGGGCCCGACGGGGAAGGGGGTGCAGGGACACTTTACCTGCAAGGGCGGGCGGCAGGTCGCGGGCGGCCAGCACCTCCTGCACCACGTAGCGCCCGGGGCCGCCATCCCGCAGCAGATCGGCGGCAGCGAGGGGCAGGTGGAACTCCGGGGCCGCCGCCATGGCCGCCACAGCCCCGGGCGCTCGAAACTGCGCGCGCGAACCACGCTAGCCCCGCCCCTTCCCGCCACGGGCCTATCAGCGCCCGCCGGCTGCACGGCGCGCCCGCCCCTCGCCCAATCGCCGGCTCCCCTGCCCTCCCGACCGTTGGCGTGACGTCACCCACGCGCCTCTGCGCTCGGCGGCGGAAGGGGCGGTCCGGCAGCGCCGCCGCGCTTCCCGTCCCGTCCCGTCTCTTCCCCGGGGCACCGGGGGGCTTCCCCATGGCGGCGGCGGCAGCGCTGCTGCTGCGGGCGGCGGGCCGGGCCCTGCTGGGCCGTGCCACTCCCCTGCCCTGCGCCGAGCGGGGCTTTAGCGACTGCGGCGGGGCGCGCTGGGCGCCCGCACGGCCCGGCCTCCCCGTGCCGCTGTCCTCGCCCCTGGCAGGGCTCTCCCGGCCCATCCGCATCAAGGAGCCGCCCAAGCGCAAGCCGGTAGATCGGTGGACGAAGAAGCGGGCCTTGTTCGGGGTGTATGATAACGTGGGGATCCTGGGTAAGACACACAGCCCGTCCGCAGCTCCCTCCCCGGCGCTGTGGGCCCGGGGCGGGGCGGGAGGGGAGGGAGGCCGGACTCACCTGCGGGATGGCGCCTCTGCCATCAGCGACAGGGCGGGGAGTATGGGGGCCGGCCGCCCTGGGAACAGCCTTCTCCAGGGCCTGGCTTCATCTGTCTCTGCTCTCCTCAGGCGGCTTCCAGATCCACCCGAAGAATCTCATCATGGGGCCCACCTGGCTGCGAGGCTGGCGGGGGAATGAGCTGCAGAGGTGCCTCCGCAAGAAGCGGATGGTGGGCGATCGGATGTTTGCAGAGGACTATCACAAACTCAACAAGAGGATCCGCTACTTGTACAAGCGCTTCAATCGCACCGGAAAGCACCGCTAGGGAACAGCAGTGCCTTCAGCCTGTGGAGTGTCGTTTTGTGGCATTGCAGTCAGAATAAAGCCAGCTTCCACACAATTGAGTTCCCAGTGCTTTCTACAACCTTTGCTGCCTATTTCTACCCAGGTCCCAAGGTCCTGCTCCTGCTCCAGGCCTGAGCTCCTCTGTGCTCCCTCAGTCATTTCTGATGTTCTTCTTGCAGGCATCAATTCCAGCCTGCATCCCACAACTTGACCCTCCGCTCCTCTGTTTTTTTGGCCAGGCTTCTAGCATCATTTCAGTCTCTGAGCCCCAGGTTCACACATCATGACAATTCCAGTATTCTCCAGCTTAGATTTTTCCTCATAGCCAAATTTTTCAAATTAATGCCACAAGGTCCTGCTGATATGTCTTCCTGCTCATGGCTTTCCCCACTGCCATCCACTCATCTGTGGTTAAGTGTGAATGATCCAAATGTTAGTTGAAATGCATCAAAACTTGTCTTAAGAATGGGATTTGTCTCATTCCACACTCATGATGACTTTATCCCCTGCTAATGACACTTTATGACCAAATAGCCTTTTGTTTATCATTTAGGCAGGATTTGCAAAAGTAATTCAGGTATTTAAATGTTTTTAAAATTCTAGCTTCTAGTTTTCCGTAACTGTTGCCAGTTCCTTTAGAGGAGAAGTGACAGTGAATCACAGCTGGCATCCCTCTAGTCCAACACTGCAGTACACTTGTGAAAATCCATTAGATGAGCAGGCATTTGCATACCAATTCTGCCTTAGTTGTTAATTTAGCTGCTAAGTAATCCAGGGAGTTATCTGCTGACTTGATGCATCTTGCTACAGAGCAATGCTGCTCTGTCTCCAAAAGCATTTGTTTGGAAGCAGCAAGGAATGAATGGAAAGAACTTTCTTTAGGCCTAAGCCTGAGGAAAGTGAAGGCAAACTCTCTGTTTAAACAGCTGAAGTCCACATTTTCAGTGGCAGGGTGACAGATCTGTGGGACTTGCCAAAAGGTGTTGTGGATTCAGGAAGCTTGCACAGATCCAAGTGGAGACTGAGCAGGAATAGCAAATCCTTGATTGAAAATATGTCAGAAACTAGAAAAGTATCAGAGAAAGTATCTTGTACCTTTTGTCATCTCTTCATCCCCCAGCACCAACCTGGCAAAAACTCTGTGGCCACTAATTCCATAAGCTCAAACTTATTTGCAGTGGTTATTGGAATGGTGCTCAGGCTGCAGTGGAAAGGCTGCCAGCCTACAGAAGCTTCTTCCTCAACTTGTGCCTTCATCTGAAGGCAGAGTGTAAAAACTTGGAGTTCTGAGGTCAGTGCTAGACTGCTCCTGTCTGCAAATCACCTGTCTCTAGTCACAACGCTGCATTCCTCTTCACCTTGTAACCACGATCTTCTAGTTACCATGCTGCAATCTGTAACATACCAGTCTTGTGTACCTAATCATCTGTGAGATCTGACACTAAAAACTTACATGAACATCCTGCATCACCTTATGGAAGGAAAAAGTAGTGTGTGAGCCTATGCTTGTCACTCTCTACTCACCATGCAAAATTCTGTATGAAGAGTCTTGTCCAGTACACTCTTGTCCCCTTTTTTGTCCTGAGTTGGAGAATCTCCCGTTCTGATCCAGCAGGCTTCTCCAGATATTTAGACGGAAAAACCTCAAACATATTGCCGTTCTTGGGGCTGCTGTGGGAGCCTCATTTCTCCCAGGAGGCTGCAGAAGCTCGATCGGGACTCGTTCAGCTTCGCTTTCATGACGCGTTGTATGCTGGAAGTGGGCCAGCGACACCATCTCTTAATTGCAAGGCCAGCGGCTTAGCGAGAGCCAACAGGCACACTGCGGAGATGGGATTTCGGGAGCGCTCCGCGGCCCCACCACAGCGGCGCCAGCTGGGCTGGGCTCCAAAAGGGTGCAGGTAACCACGATCGGGCCCTGCTTGACCTACACGGAGCGCGGCGGACCCGGGGGCCGGCGGGTCCCGCGGCAGGGCCGTGGGTCGGGAGCGGGCCGGTGCGGCGGAGGGAGCGCCGGGCACCCCCGGGCCGGCGCCGCGGGACCTCCGCAGGGGCGGGGCCAGCCGGGGGCGGGGCGCAGGGCGCTGCTCCCATTGGACAGCTACATGGCGGGGCGGGGCTAAACCTGTGGCGCTCTGGGGGCGGGGCTAGGTTTATGTCCTTTTCCGCAGGGCGCGCAGCGCTGATTGGCTGAGGAGGAACCGAGGGGCGGTGCCGAGCTGCATCTCTCTGCGGAGCAACTTTTGATTGGCTGCTGGCTCTGTGGGCGGGACCGCGCTGTTATAAGTGCGGGGTCCGGGGGCTCGGGGCACTGTCGGTGCGAAGCTCCGTGTTTGCTTCGGTCCTGCTTCCCTCCGGCTCGGCCATGTGAGTGTCCGCCCACCCGACCGACCGGCCGTGGGCGAGCTGCGGCGGGCGCGGCGCGGGGGTGGTGCTGTTGCAGCGTGAGGGACGGGGGTCGGTGCAGAGCCCGCGTCCCGGCCGGCGGCGGTGGGGTCGGGTGGCGCATTGCAGCAGCCGCAGGCTGGGCTGCCCGCACCGCCCCCGGGCGGTCCCGCTCCCCCGCTGGCTGCGTGGGTGAGTGGGTGCGTGGGCCGTGCCCCAGTGGGGATGATGTGCGGGGCCCAGCCGGAGCCAGCCTGGCCGGTGGCCACCACTGCGCCCAGCCCGGTGCTGCCTGGTGCCCCCGCGCTGCTCCCTGTCCCTCTTCCTCCACCTTCCTTCCCCGGGTCCCGGTCATGTCCGTGCGGCCAGGTCACTGTTCCCCCGGGAGGCCGCAGTGTTTGGCGCGACCGCACCCGCAAGCTCCTTCGGCGAGGGGCTCGTTCCATTCCCGCTGCTCCCTTGGGCTTGCCCCTGCTCTGGGGTCTCCCTGTTCCCGATGCGGCGGGATCCAGCGAGGCTGCAGGCTGCCGAGGCTGCTGCCAGCGCTGCTGCAGCCTGGGGACACTGGGGTCCCCCTCCGCATTTGGGGGGTTCTCTCTTGAGCGGCTGAGTTTTCCCTTGGCTCATGTGTGTGCTCCCCTAGGTCTGACCCGGCTCCGCAGCCTGCTCCCGGCGCTCCCGAAGGAGGAGCTCCCGAAGGAGGCGCTCCCGAGGGGGCAGCCCCCGGCGGGGGTCCCCCCGGGGCTCCCCCCAACCTGACCAGCAATCGCCGCCTGCAGCAGACGCAGGCACAAGTGCAGGAGGTCAGTAGCTCTGCCAGCCCTGAGGGACGCCTGGGCTCTTCTCCCACCGCTCTGCAGCAGCAGCGGTGTTCCCGACCCGTGTCTGGCGCTGAGGGGGTGGCTCCATTTGTCATGCCAAAGCCAGAAATTAATTAATGCTGAATACTCAAAAATAGGGTGGCAAACCTATTAAAGAAGCTGGAGGAGAGATTGCTTTATGTTTAAAAGCCACTTCATTCCAGATATGACTTCCAAGGACCAGGCTGGCTAGATTCTTTTGGTATCTCGTTATCGCGCATCTCTTTTGGGAATAAAGCTGTACGGCGTCCAGGACAGCTCTTAATCCCTGCGGGCTGCTCCAAGGGAACGCTGTGTGCAGTGATGTGGGGAACCCTTGCCTGGCTTCCCGGGATCAGAGCCGGTGGCTTGGCTGCTGTAGCGCCTGTGTGCCTCACCGGGGCAGCAGCACGAAGCTGATAAGGTGATTTTGCAGCTCCCGGGGAGGGAGTGAGCGCCGGACTCCTCTCATACCGAGGGTGGCTTTGGCTTGCTGCTGGAATGGAGGGCTCTTAGAAGCAGATGAGAATGTGAGGCTGAGGACCTGGTTGAAGTGTACTTGAAGTGATGTTTTAACAGTGACTCTCGGATTTTTTTTTTCATTCCAAAGTAGGCAATGACTTGAAATCACTTCTTTCTTACCCTGATCTTTCCCCCACTCTTGTTCGTGTTTTTTGTTGGTTAGTATTGCAACATCAGTTATTGGCTAAGTAACTCCTCTTACATTTTCAGCTGTCTTTAACAATACAGCTGCTCCCACCGTTCTCCTTCTGCAGGTGGTTGATATAATGTGTGTAAACGTAGACAAGGTGCTGCAGCGAGACGAGAAGCTGTCAGAGCTGGATGACCGGGCAGATGCGCTGCAGGCCGGCGCCTCAGTCTTTGAAAGCAGCGCAGCCAAACTCAAAAGGAAGTACTGGTGGAAGAACTGCAAGGTGAGTTTCCTTGTCAGGAGGGAGCTGGGCTACTCCTCTCCTGCAGAGCTTTCAAGTATACCTGGGGCTTGCTAACAGTTTCAAATGCTTAAGATTCTTTCACTGTGGGAAGGCTTTGAGGCTTTGGCTGTCTTGCCTTTGGGGCCTGGCTTAGGTTCCCTGGCTGTCAGGAAGAATGGGAGCTTGTCAATCTGTTCTGAGTATTGCTCTTGGACAATCTTTTTCTTCAGATGATGATCATGATGGGAGTGATTGGTGCCCTTGTGGTGGTGGTGATTGCAAGTAAGTACCAAAAACCTCAGGCTCAAAGGTGAGGAAATACCAGCTCTAGAGTACTTTAAACTTTTCCTTTTTGTTTTGAGGTCTTGAGCATCTTAGTTGTGTAAGTGTCAACTCCAGTCTTTGGGAAAGGGAGGTAGAAGTGCTGGAACTCCCTCACTTAGTGTGGAAATGGTGTGCTTTACCTAGTAATGTGAGGAATGGGGAATGCCATCACTGTAGAAATGGGAAATTCTGCCTGCCAGGTCAGATAAACATGTAAATATGAGGGGCATTTACCCTGGAGTGGGTGGGTTGGCAAGTTCGTTCCCTGGTGGGTGGTTTGGAGTTCTCTGAGGGACCTTTGGTGTAACTTGCCCTTTTGTTCTTTCCTTTTTTCTTTTTTCTATTGCTTTGTCTCCAGTCTACTTTTTTACTTAAATGTAGCTCCTTCAGTCTGCAACCTCCTGTCCCCTATTACCTTGCCTGTCTCTTCTTGCCTCTGAATTTTTCCTTTCCTTTCCTTTCACCTAGCTTCTTCATTGATTTCCTTATTGGTTTTAATTTATCTTCTCTATAGGACTCTGAGCTGCTTACTAAACATAGGTAGCCTTTTCAATAGCTGCTGCAGCTTTAGGGAGCATCCTCTAAGTTTAGAGGAAAGGGAAGCTGAGGAAGAGTGGGTAGCTATTTGCTCCTGCTCTTCTGCAGAGAACTTTGTGTTTATTTTTGGGTGTAAGCTTGTCAAATAGTGCCTGTGTGAACTCTAGCAAAATAAGAATGCCTTAACACAGTGCCTTTTGGGATGAAGGACCTGCAGCATGTGAGAGCCTTTAGTGTTCTGCCTAAAAAGAGTGGCAGCATGACTTGAGCTTTTCATTGAGCTTCTGAAATAAAAGCTAGTTTGTGTTGGCCAGTGGCTGTGAGCCATCTAAGCTACACGTAGTGATGTAGGTTTCTATAGCCGTGGAGGGGTGAGCACTTGAAGAAATGATTTATTCTGCCTGTCCTTATTTCCAGGTGACTTGCTGCCTGAACATGGCCATTTCAGTTTTTATAAAGGAGGGCCTACATGATTACCTCAGTCAAGTGTAACAGGCTAAACACAGTTCAGTGAAAGGGGCATTGCTACCATCTAAAACCCATGTGTGGGAGTAAAGCCTCTCTCCACAAGGAACAAATGAACAACAATTAGTCAAATATGCCTTTCATCTATGCACACACAAGCCAGGACCTTGTAGCTTCCTACTGTCTTGTAGCTTTCCAGAAGGAAGACTTTGGAGTAGTGGCAGAATGGGAATTGGTGTTTTGCTTTTGTGTGACTGGGTTGAAGGTCGAGGAAGCTCACTGCCACAGCAGATGGAGGTGAGGGGGGCTGGAGGTATTCCAGATGACACTAATTGAGCTGCACAGCTTTCTGATTAAGAATCTCTGCTCTGTTTCTGCTGCCACAAAGCCCTAACTTTCAGCAGGAGTTAGAAAACCCTTGAAATGGTTAGCTGGGGATTCAAAGGGAAATGGTGCTCTGGGCATGGATATTGCAAAGTGGCATCAGATGTCCCAGTTTGGCAACTTATGCCTCTAGAGATCTTGCTGATCAAACTGAATCCTCCTACTTGCTGTGGGTTCTCTTGAATTTAGGTCCAGGGTGGTTTCTGATGGAAGTAAAGTTGTGTCTGTGGCTTTCTGTGAGTGATTCCCTTGTTCTTCTCCATCAAAAGTAACAGGAGCTGTGAGTTGTTTGAATAGTTGTCAGACATGGGTTAAATGAGCTGCCCTGTTTCTGTAGAGTCTTCTGAGGAATGTGTATCTTGTCTTTTAACTTTTTTTAACAAGCTGAGCTGTAGCCTGTAATCCAGACTGGAAAGAGTGTACTCCTTTAATTTAGAAAGCTCTCCCTCTGTTCTAGAATACACTGGGATCTGTTTAGGCTTAAGAGGAGGCAGGGAGGACATCACTGAAGTTCCCAGATAGGAGCAAAGTACAAAAGATGGGAGGAGCAGATGCTTTTTATTTCACTGGATGTGCTGGGGAAGCCCCTTTCTGCCTCCCAGGGCACCTGGCAAGGGGCTAGGTTTTGCATGCTCACTTCCATGCCCCAGCATTTTCATTTGAGTTCATCTCCCTGCAATTCCATTCCTCTCCACCTTGGGGGAGGGCAGAGATGAAGATCTGGAGTGAAGCAGCCCTCGTCCCCTGAGCACTTCCCTAATTCCCTGGAACTGAGATGGGATGGACGGTCAGAAGTGCATCTGCTGAAGAGGAGCCAGGGCCTGCTTGTGCCACCTCCTGCTCTCATTTTAGGGGGTAGGCTTTTACAAGCTTGAGGCCCCCAGACCAGCAATTCTCTTGAACTCTTCTAAACAAGCCTTTGGTGTCCCATTCCTCCTGTCTCTCTGGGAGCTGAGGTCCCCCTAGGCTGTCTCTTTCATTTCTTTCTCTCAGATGTTGGATGTTGCCTCCTCCTCTGCTCCCTTTCCCCTCCTTTGTGTCTCTGTGCATGGGCAAAACAAATCACCAAGGCCCTCTTAGTAAAAGCAAGGGACTCTGCTGCCCACAGCATCACAGCCACTCATGCACGTGCAGTTTATTTACTTCCTCTATAAACACAACTGTAATCTCCTCTGGCATGTTCTAGAAATCAGCTCCTGTACTTTTAATGGTCTCTAAGAAACATGATTCACCACCTTACTGAGTCTGTCTGGTCTGTCAGTGAGCGGGAAGGGGTTGGGATACCGAACTTCTGGAATTTCTTTTTTTTTTTTTTTGTGACTTCCATAGCATGCACATACCTGAAGTTCTGTCCCTCAAAGAGTGGCTGCTTTTCCATTGTAAAATGATGGTAGTTCCAAGTGTGCTGGACTGACTCTGGTAAGTCTGTAACAAGATGTGAGAAGCAGCAGTTCTGGGGGAAGAGGCTGCCCAAGCCAAATCTACTTTCAGCCACTGAATGTCCAGCCAGTGTCTTGTTCAGGGGACTGCCTTCTGTGCATTATTGTGTTGGGGGCAGCTCTGGCTCTTGGGCTGTGCTGCCTTTGGATTTCAATAACCTCAGATCCTTAAACCCAGAAAACAATTCTCCATTGGTGTTGGAATATAAGTTCAGGACACAAATGAAGACCTCCAAGAGTAGGATGCTGTTCACAATATATCTTGTAGCATGACTGGAATAAAGGTAAGTGCCCCTTTGTTTTGCTTCACTGTACGTTTGAAACTCATTAAAAGGAAATGACAGAGCTTTGTCCAGTGCAGACTTCTTTTAAAATTAGGTATTTGTGCCCTTATCTGCCCTTATTGCTACAAAAGCTAGGTTGCAAACCAATCTTCCATGTGGCTTCTGGTTCCCTTATGGTCAGTCTTTGTCCAGTCTTAAACGTCACCAAAATCCACACCAGAACAGTGAACACACTGGAACAACTCAATGGTGAATTTGGAGCAAGGCAGCTAGACTTATTCTTCAAAGATGGAAGCCCTGCTGGGAAAGGAGGGTGTCTGGACTGGCTGGTGGATTAAAGCAGCATGTACAGTCTAAAATTCCCCACAGTTCAGGCCTGCACAACCTGAACAAACGAGTCGTGCTACAATTCCTGCCAAGTTTTGTGTTGCGTTCCTGTCAGTTCTCAGCCTCACTCATGTAGGGGAATAGGGAAGATGTTTTCATGGGACAGATGCATTTTTGGACTGTTGATGATGCAGTGTCCAAGTCCCTAGCCAAAGCTGGGGATTGAATGCTCATTTTCCAAGGCTGGCAGCTGCTCTGGAGCACAGAGCTGAACATACCCTGAAAGTTGCCCCAGGGTTGAGCCCAGTTCATGAATCATGTTGTGGCTGTTTGCAAAGACTTGCATGTCTAGCCATAAATCCTCTCTTAGGCATTGAAAATACCATGTTCTACTGGAAGCTCTTCTGAGGTGCCATCCTTACCTGCATCAGCGTTTCTGCTGCTCCTGTACTCTCTTATCCCAGACAAAGCAGGATTTTAAATGTGCTCCAAAAGCAAGGCCAAGGCTTTGGGAGAATAGTTCTTCGAATGTTTAATTAAAAAGTCAAGCTCTGCCTTTAAACATGGAACATGCTTAACATGCCTTTGAACTGGAACAGATTGCCCAGAGAAGCTGTGGATGCCCCATCTCTGGAGATGTCCAGAGCTGGGTTGGATGGGGCTTTGAGCAACCTGGTCTAGTGGAAGGTGTCCCTGCCTGGTAGGGAGTTGGAGCTAAGATGATGTTTAAGGTTGCTTCCAGCCCAAACCATTCTGTGCAAAATGCAGCTCCCATATCAACTGCTTCATCCTGATGTCTTCAGATGTGGTGGAAGAAAAGCCTCAACTGTACAGCTCCTAAATGGAATACCCTAAACCTCCATATCTCCAGATGCCTGAGGCATTGCTCTGGCCTTTCCTGAGGTGTCTCTGTGCTGGTCAAAGCCAGGTGCAGGCTCTCAGCCGTGGTGGGGTTTGTTGTCTCACCTGGAGAGCAGCCAAATGATGATGGGCAAGACAGATTTTTCTTCACAGCTGGAATGCAGCATCAACACTTGTTTAATGAACCTGGCTTCCTTGGGAAGTGACAGAGGTCCCTGCTCTGATGTAGGCTGGGGTTGGAAGCCTTAACTTGGTGAAGGGAGGTAATAAGGGGGAGGTTTTATCTTTGTTCTGACCTCTAAACAAATGATTGCTCTGAGAGATGTAACAGATAAAGATACAGGTTTTACAAATAGGCAGCTCAGCCATGTCTGTTGGATACTGAGCCTCCACACTCTTGATAATATTTGACCTATTTTTGGCCTGAGATAGAGTACAACACCTACACAGAACACCCTTACTTGCTCCCCAGGTTTCAAATATGAACAGCCTCATAATGTCCTTTCCTTCAGTGCACAGATCCACTAAATGATTTCTGCAGAGGACTAAATGACACTTTCTTTTTTTATGTTCTTCCCTCAGAGGCTTCTTTTCTAAAAGCCTTTGTACTATTTTTTAAAACTAAATTTGCCATAAATGTATTAAAAATTTAATAAAGATTATAAGCTCTTTTTAGTTCAGTGCTTTTAAGTATGCACTTGGAAACTGAAGGCACTTTCCCCTCTTGTGCTTACAAGCCCCCTTTAACTATTGCATGTTGTTAAATACAAAGAACTGTGACTGAATGTGGCTGTGGCTCTGGTGTGTTCCTGATCTCTGTGGTTCCCTGTGTCCTTTCACCAGCAGCACTACCGCCCTTTCCATTTCTTGATGTAGCTTGTAACCCCTCAGACTTTATTGAACCTGTCCCAAGAGCTTGGTAACCCTTTCTTCAAGTTCTTTCTCAGTTTGACCTCAGTCTGTGCAGACAATCCTTGACCTATCTGTCCAGCTTCTCTCAAGCTCTCCAGCAAGCAGGGTTTTGTTCTTCTAAATATATTGTTTATTTTCCAAAGTGATGGTTTTCTCATTTTTTTCTAGCTTCCCTAGATACTTCTGTTGTACTTCCATGCCTTTCCTCTATTACCTTAATTCTTATGGAAAAACAATAGTTTGGCATCTGTTCCCAGTCCAAAAAGACACAACCTTCAGCTGTTTCCTGCATGTTTTCCATGTCCACAAAATAACTCTGCTATGCCTCTAACACATCTATGACTACTGAGCATCCCCTCAACTTTCTCCTCTTGTACAAATTCACCCCAGCTCAGACCTTTAATTTGCCTTTTGCTGACTTGCAGATGCCCCTTCTTGCATGCTTTCTTCCCTTTTCTCCAATTTTTCATGTTCTTAGTGAAACACTCCCATTTTTTGGGCTCTTACTCCAGCACTGCTGGCCTTGCCTCTTGTTTTCAGCCAGACCAAGCTCACTATACAGCTGCTGAGCTCATTTGTGGTCTTGCCAGCCCACAAGAAATGTAGGGATTATTTCTGGAACAAGCCCCTGATTTCTCCCAAGATGGCAATTTTTGCACTGATTCACAGGACAGGGAGGGCTCATCTATTTACCAACTTGTATAACTGCTTCTTCACATTTGTACAGGCTTTTAATTCTGGATTTACAGCTATCCTGAATGGTGCCATTACTTTGAGTTCATCAGTCAAAGCACATTTTTTTTTGCATTTTAACACTCGTATGGAACAGATAGGATATGGTTCAAGCTTCCCCCAGGGAATACATCACCACCTTCTGCAGCTGTATTTCTTTATTGATGAAGAGAACTTACTGTTTTAAGTAGTTATGCCTCTGATTAATCTTGCTTTAATCACCCACTTGACTATGCATGATGCAGCAGGTCTCATCAATTTTATGGTTATTACAAGGTTATTTATGGTTCTGTGATGTGAAGAATCGTGTCTTACTCTTTGGATACTGAGGAAATATCAGACTTACCATATGAATCACTGTATGTTTATGGTATACAAAGACTGTTTTGAGGTGTTGCACCTGCTCTTTATCCTTTCTTGATCTAAAGGTGGCTTTGTGAAGCAAACAGCTTTGTGTCCAGTGTCAGGTTTTTGCTCATTCATGTGCTAGAAAACACCCAATGCATCAGTCTGCAGTACTGAATTTGTGACCAAGAGCTGGGTGCAGCATCCTAGGTCCTCTATCTGCCTGCCTTTTGTATTTTAATTGTGGCCAAAGTTACTTTGAGCAACTAAACCTAGCTTTTACCTCTGCCTCTTGGCAGTGCTTTTACAGAACATGAAAGTACCTTCACAGAGGCAATTTTGAGATTTCATTCATTGCTCACTCTTTTTTACTTCATTTAGAAAATGGATTTTTTTCATGTTTGCAGAAGCTCTGATTTTTTTTCTAGTGGGAGGCCTCCTAGGAGGAATACATGTTTCCACACCTCTTAAGTGCTTGTTTCAGGCCCCTCCCTCCTGCTGGGCTGCCACCCTTGCTGAAGGACACCTCCCAGATTGCAAGCTTCCATTCCTAGCAGAGAGACATTATCTTCACTTTCAAACAAGAATTATCAGCTGGGCACTGGGATAAAATTTGTAAAAGCAGGAATATTTGTGCAATAAAGAACATAGCATTTGTGTGTGTATGTGAAAAAGAATAAAATCACTCTCTGCTGGGAATTGGAAAGTGCTTTTAGGTAATCAAGGCAGGAGCAGTACAACCAGCATGTGTTTAGCATCTCAAAGGGAAAAATTAGGCAACAATTTAGATATTGCAGTAAACTCCTCCAACTTCCCAAGGGCAGTGCGTCTACCTTAAATTTTAAAACAGCTTCAATTTTTCTTTTGTTATGATTAAGTAGTTTTTAAATTCAAAAGTGGCTGTTAGCAGTGTGACTTGTTACAGGGTTCCACAGGTCTTTGCTTAAATTCTGGTATCTCTGTTTGTCCTGTGAAGTGGATAATCCTGTTTTTTAAGGACATCACCCTTGCTCTCTTGATACCCCATAAAGTGCAGAGCAAACACCATTGCAGCAGAAGTCTGAGTATTTGTAAGAAAAAGAGCATGGCAAGCTCACTGCAAGAAACGTGTTCTCTCATACAAAGGTCCCCCAGTTAGTTCCTGAGAAGAGGACCATTTTTGCCCATGTGGTCCAATCAAATAGGCTAAAGCTTTCCTTGGAAGCACTTTTGATTAAAGCCTGCAGTACTTTCCTGTGCTTCCCTCAGGAACAAGAGGCTCAGCAGAGTTTCTGTGGGAGGACCAGACAAGGACTGGGAGGAGCAGAACGTGCACTGCATGACCTGCACTGCTCTGAGCCTCTCTTGCAGGATCCCATTGCAGCAGAGGTAACATTTGGGATTTTTGGAGGGTGTTCATAATCCTGCCAAACTTTTTATTTCCCTCAGGAAGAAAGCAGGGAGGGTCAAGCAATTGTAGAGATCGATTTGTCCCAGAGCTATTGGCAAACAATCAGATAGCTGGATGTACACATGTATGGTGTATCCCAAGGAAGGGGGGACATCCAAGATCTACCAATGCCACAAAGGCAGCTTGAAAAGGGAGCCTTTATTTTGCCAGGGGTGTTTTGTCCCAGACCTGGGAGTGGCAGCAAGCTTGGAGCACCTCTCTAGAGCATTGTGTGTAATACAGATTGAGATCGTGCCAATGGCTCTTGTCTCAAGGAGCCTCTCCTGGGGGGAGGAGAGGGTAGGTGACACAGTCTTGGGATCAGAGCTCATGAAGAACGAGGAAAGAGCAGCCAGTTTACGGAAAGCTTAACAAAGCTCAGCCTGTTGAGAGATTTGTACCCCAGCTAAGACTCCATTCCTGTTCCTTGTTATACCACAGAGGAGGCCAGTCACACCTGCCAAACCTCTTTAATTAATGACAGACCAGAACT